AAAAAAAAAAAAAAAAAAAAAAAAAAAAAAACATTGGCCGTGTCCTGTCTTTCCTGTTTGTACATATGTACGCCACTTTTTCTGAATCACTGAAAGTAAATTGCCAACATGATGCCACTTGAACCCTACATACTTCAGCATGCTTATTGATTATCTAACCCACAGGACCTTAGCATATCTAGCCTATTGGCCCAATAATAACTTTTACTGAAGAAAAAGAAAGACAAAGTTCTGGTCCAGGTTCTAATTCAGGATTTCTCGTAGCATTCAGTTGTTGAGTCTCTTAAATCCTCTGTATTCTAGAATTGTTCCTCAGTCGGTCTCTTTCATAACTTGGACATTTTTGAAAAGCACGAGCTGGTTACTTTGTCAAATGTCCATCCGTTTGGGTTTGTCCGCTGTTTTCCCATGGTTACATGATGGTGAGGCAGCGCGGCAGGAATGCCACCGAAGAGATGTGTCCTCCTTGCTGCACATACCCGGAGGCACACAATGTCCATCTGTCCCATTACATTTGACCGAAGTGGCATCCGCCACCTGTAGGGTTTTCAGACCAGGTCAACATCTCAACCTTTCACCCACTGGTCTTAACAACCACTGAGAATGTTTGACTCAATTAGGACTCTATTATTTGCCAAATGGTGACTTTCTAACTCCACAGTTCCTTCTAAATTGACCAAATGATGTTCTACCCTGAGGAAGAGGCTTCCCCCCACCCCCATTTATTCATTGCTCTGTTTATATCAGTCACGGGTTCCCGTTTTATTCCATGGCATATCGTCTGTTATCACCGTCATTTATTCTCATGTTCAGTTGTTTCAGATTTGACCCCTGGAACATGTCATTTTGTTCTTATTTTGTCATTTTTCCAAGGTTTTTTGCAATGACTGTGTATCACTTTTGTGTTTATAGGTGGAAAAACTACTTTTCAAAACTGGGAATTACTGGGTCTTGCGCAAATTTCTGTGCAGCATGAAAGGCCACGGTGGACTAATAGGGCCTGTAGATAATTACTGCAACAAGCCCTAGGTCACTTCAGACATTGAGATTCTGTGATTCCTAAAACATGTTGGTTTGGCTTAATTTTTTTACACTAGGGGTGCCTGGGTGGCTCCATCAGTGAAGCGTCTGCCTTCAGCTCAGGTCGTGATCCCAGGGTCCTGGGATCGAGCCCCGCATCAGGCTCCCTGCTCAGCGGGGAGCCTGCTTCTCCCTCTGCCCCTCTCCCCTGCTTGTGCTCGTGCTTTCTCACTCTCTCTCTCTCTCTCTCAAATAAAATCTTTAAAAAAAATTTTTTACACTAAAATATTTATAAATTTTGTATTTTGCAGATTTAATAGCCCAGATGTGACAATAGACCCTGAGTTTAGGCTGTGGTTAAGCTCAAAATCGGACAGTTCTTTCCCAATTCCAATTCTTCAGAAGAGTTTGAAGGTAAGGACAGAGTAGAATAGATTTTGATGTTGCCTAAGGAGCACAGTTTGAGTGTAAAGTATCTTGCATTCATAATTCCGAATTACGAAGGGATTCCTGACTCTAGCATGCTGACCTTCTACTCTGTGCTCCCCATGCACTGTGGGCCAGGAAGGACACTAAGATAGTAAATGAGCTCCCTGCTTTCAAATGATTCACAGCTTGATGGACGTTTTGTCCAACCAGGATGCTTAGAGTTCCAACAGTTATAAACCAGAACGCATGATCTCTGTCCTTTTCTCGCCCTTCTTCTCTGGCCTTTTCCTGTCTCTGCTCCCCCAACCATCCCATGGTGCAATCTCTGGAAATGCTCTGGCAGGAAGCAGGTTGAAAGCAGGTGTTGGGGACAGGGGACCAAAGGCTGGCAGGGAGGGACAGACATAGAACTTCCAGGGACGTTTCACCTCAATCCGGTCCATTGCTCTAATTAGCAAAATACAGCTTCACTTCAGATATGAACAACTTTCTTCCCCAAGATAACATTTTCTCTCTGTCTCTCTCTCCCCCCTCTCCCACTGCCCAGCTCCCCTCCTGCCTCCCCCCTTCATATGTCGTTCCTCATGGGGCTGCGCAGATTTTTACTTTTGGAGACACAAGCAGGAGTCTCCAAAGATTCAACCCTGAGCCTCAAGGCACGACACTCTGCGAACACTTTCTCATGTGTGCAGTCAGGGCTTTCTCAGCAAACGTTGCAGACAATCCGTATTAACAGATATTGAAAGGTAAACATGCCTTGGAAGGAAGAGAACGTCTGCTCTACTAGGTGCTTCTTACAGCTACGTGTCCAAGTTCTCAGGCTGATAAGACTCATAGCCATTTGCTTAACACTCCAGGGACTGTGAAGACCCAGCTACCTCCTCCTCTCTCCCCAGAGAGAATCTCTTTGCGTTCCAGAGCAAACTGGAACGTCTCTCTGTCTCTCACTGTCTCTGGAAGGAGGGGCTGCTCTGTAAGACTTTCTATATAAGCACCAAGTTTCATCCCCACTATACACATGCTCAGGGTGCATCTGGCCCCCCCATCACCCCGTGGGGATCAGAGCATGGAGGAGCACCGTGAGCTCTGATCCTTGATCCAGAAACAGTGGTTCATGTACACACACATCCATGTGTCGTATATACAGACCCACACAGATCTGCACATCCACACGGTTTTTATACATGAATACGTGTGTGTACGTGTGTGTCTGTGTGTGTATATGTGTAAAATGTGCAAGGAAGGGAACATTTCAAACCTTGTACAGTTTGGGAGTTAACAGCCATGCTCTTTAAAAAGCCCCCTCCAACTGAGTCTCTCCCCACTTCACCTCTGCCCCTCCTCACTGCAAGTCTCCTAGTTAGGAAGTCAAGCAAAGGGAATTTTAATGGAAGCTAAATAGCTGGGTAGTACACCAAGTTCATTGTTCTCCTTTTTAATGTCGGTGCTGACAAGATGGTTCTGTTGGCTCCACTGGTTCTCTGTCTCCTTTTCTTGGGCACCCCCCGCCCCCCCAGCCCCCCATCTGTCACCTCGCTGAGGCTGCTTGGCCACCACTGAGAGTTTTGACGACAGTAGCTCTTCACTGTCAAACTTTCTAGAATGCTGTGATTCCAGAATGCTAGACTTCAAGCAAACAGGAGTGCTTTTAATGACAGTCTTAACTTTTCATTTTAAGATCTGAATTGGAACAGTAGGAAATCAGGTACAATCCTTTAACAGAAATTTTCAAATGAAAAAAGACTAACACAAGAGTTCTTACTTGCCAATGACTCTTGCAAACAGTTACACTCTTAGCCCGCTCTCTGAGCAAGCGTCCCCTTGATCAGTGCCTCCACTCACCTGCTGTCATTACTCATCTCTATTTTAAAGATCGCAGTGGAAAATCCCCAGGGACTGAAAAGTAACTTACTACAGACCTTTGGATATGGTGGGAGCGGAGAGGTAACAGAAGAGATACTTGAAAAACCTGACTGTGGACCCTCGTGGAAAAAACTTTTATTCAGTTTATGTTTTTTCAATGCTGTGATCAATGAAAGAAAAAATTATGGAATACTGGGCTGGAATATTGCTTATAAATTTAGTTCTTCGGACTTGGCGGTAAGTGTGATATCTTCCAAATAAACACTAATGAATAAATCACAATAGGATACTAACTGCCTAGTGTTTGTCCACACAGATACTAAGTATCTTCCTGGTGCTGGAAAATGAACTCTGTGACCAGTAACAAGGGCTAATGCGGAGAAGCATGAACCAGGAAGCCAGCTTTTCTGGAAACAGATCACAGCCCCCCACCTACGGATGTACAAGCATTTAATCCAGTGGGCGGTGGGCGAGCTAACGAGCTCTCAGGCTCTTTGTTCCCTTGGCCAAAAAAGAAAAAAAGCAGGATAGGGGAAGGGAGGGCGGACACCAGTACCTACTTGAAAGAGTTTTATAAGAAGCCGACTGGTTAACATAGGCTAGGCTCTCAGGACAGTGCCTGACACACAGAAACCCCTGCAAATGTGTCTGCCGTTTCTACCAGATTTATTTAAAGTAAGAGCTTGTACTGACCCACCGCAGGGGGAAACACGTAGCTTACTGTCTTTCTTTACTATTCTCTATCTAGAACCTTCTATTTGCTTGACGTTGCCTGGTGGTTTTTTTTACAGCTAAAGTGAACAGGTGGTGACACCTGCTTAAATTTTCACCAGGTTAGAGCAGATACCAAAAAACTTTCTGAGCAAAATCTTGATTCTGCCTCTGGGTACCTGCCCCCGAGACCCACCCTGGAAGGGCACCTTTCCTTCCCTTCTAGGGCCTCCTGAGGCTTCACAGCTCTCTGCACGCGCAGCTGCCTGTCCCCGCACGTGCAAGTGCACGCTTGTGCCCCCAGCCAGAGCCTGACATGAAACAGCCGTGCTCTGGGTGTTTGCCAAGGAATACGGGCTCAAGCACATTTGTCCAAACCACACTCAAAGCTTAATCAAAAGGCTAACAGTATACTGGGGGAAAAATACCTGTAGCGTATATTATGCAATGGCTAATAGGCTGATTATATAAAGACCTTTTTTTTTTTTTTAAGATTTTATTTATTTGACAGAGAGAGACACAGCGAGAGAGGGAACACAAGCAGGGGGAGCGGGAGAGGGAGAAGCAGGCTTCCCGCGGAGCAGGGAGCCTGATGCGGGGCTCGATCCCAGGACCCTGGGATCATGACCTGAGCCGAAGGCAGATGCTTAACGACTGAGCCACCCAGGCGCCCCTATATGAAGATCTTTTATAAATTAATAAGAGAATGATAACTACCCCAATGGGCAAAGGACCTGGTTAGGCATTTTGCAGTGTAAATACAAAAAGGCAAAAAGATTATGAAAATGTATTCCATTTCATTAGTAATTGCGATGTTAATTTTATGTATCAACTTGACTGGGCCACAAGACCCCCAGGTGTTTGGTCAAGCATTATTTTGAGGATGTCTCTGAGGGTGCTTCTGGTTGAGATTCATATTCAAATCAGTAGACTCTCTCTAACGTGGTGGGCCTCGTCCAATCAGTTGAAGGACTGACCGGCACTAAAAGGAAATCCTCCTGCCTGAATGCTTCGAACTGGAACATTGGCTCTCCCTGGGTCTCCTGCTGCCAAAAGCAGGTCTTGACATGTGTCAGCCTCCATCCTTACATGAGCCGCGTCCGAACGGTAAATCTCTGTAGACATATATGGTTCTCTAGAGAAGCCTGACGAATACAGTAATCAAGGTAACGCTCATTAAAATCTCATTAAGATGAGATGGCACCTTTCACCCCGCCCCCCGGTGGCTAAAACAAAGCAGCACAAATGCAGAGAAGTGGGGGCTGTCTCCTGATGCTGCTGCGATTGTTACTAACTTTCTGGGAGGCAAAGAATGCCTAGTATCATTGATTTAGAAAGATAGCTCACATTTATAGGCTCGTTTAATGAAATTACTTATAACAGAGATTGAACATATGATGTCATTTCTGTGTATATATAGAACTCATTTCCCTTGCAGATGGTTTTTAAAGAAATACATCCAAACCATCTACCAGGGGGATGAATGGTAGGACTGGGATGGCCAGTGTCAGCAGGGGCACTTTGTCCTGCGCAGAGCTTGGGCCAATACCATCAGCAGCTCTCGGTGCAGGCTGGAAGTCACCGGATGGTGCCCTAACTCTGGCATTTTGCAGAGAGGCCTGACTGGAAACAGCTGGTGACGTCATGGCGCTGTGGTCCAGAGAGGTACCCTTCCCCTCCTGCCTTCCCCCTCTTTGTGTGGCAGATGTGAGAGTAGCCTTGCCAGTGGGAGAGAAAGCCTGGGTGGGTGCCAAGCTTCTGACCGTCTGGAGGTTCCAGCTGGGAACTTCGTGCGGAACGGGCTCTATGCACAGCCCCCCTCAGGAACAAAGTGGGCACTTCTGGTTCCCTGGGAAGTTGAGTTTGGACATGGCTCCTCCCACTTGGGGGAGTCCTCGCCAGCCAGCTGGTGGTCAGGTAACTTGGGGTTTGCTCAGGGGACTGGCGGTCTGACCAGTGCTATGTCCTAGCCCACGGGGCTTAGCATTAGTGGACCCTCCACTGCACGCAGGGCCACTGAAAGCTTCCCCAAAACCAGGACCTCAGCCCCATTGACAAGGCCAAGAGAAACAACCTATCTAATGAGACCCAGTGGCCAGGGAGAGAAAGAACATAAGCAATAGAACAGAAAACTGTCAGAGGCCGTGAAGAAATACACGTTTCACACCTGTATACATGCACATACGTGTTTCATGTGCATGACTTTTTTAGGTGCACACATATCACGGTTTTTTTTTTAACTTATTGACAGAAGAACCAGCAGGATGGTTAAACTGATTTTTAAAAATATAGGATCCCTGCTCAGCGGGGAGTCTGCTTCTCCCTCTGCCCCTCACCCCCACCTCGCTCTTGTGCTCTCTCTCTCATTCCCTCTCTCAAATAAATAAATAGAATCTTTAAAAAAAAATATATATATATAGGAGAGCAGAATTATTTGTAAATACTGAGAGAAATTGTAATGAAATACGATTGCTAAGTTATATCCCAAACTGATAAATGCCCTGCAGGCAATAAAATTGTGCCTTTGGTTTGTAAGTTGCTTTATGAGCCAGACAGCATTTGTATTTCTCTAGGACAAAATTCATCTGCATTATCATCAGAATCACAGGCAGGGCTCTCAGTTTTCTGTAAGTTAGCAACTACTCTGACAGAACTTTATGTGCTCTGACCAATAGCACATCAAAACAGAAGTAGGTGCTCCTGGAATATTCGATAATCCCCTTGAAAGAGTGCGTCAGACACTGTTTCAGTGGGGCATGGAAAAGATACGTGCTCACCCTTTTACCTATTTCCAGATTTTGGAGTTTTTATTTTTTTAAAAAAGATTTTATTTATTTGAGAGAGAGAGAGAACAAGCATGGGGAGGGTAGAGGGAGAGACACACTCCCTGCCAAGCAGGAGCCCGATGTGGGACTCAATCCCAGGACCCTGAGATCATGACCTGAGCAGAAAGCACACGCTTAACCCACTGAGCCACCCAGGTGACCCTAAATACAGATTACTTAAAAGGAAGACTCATACTACAAGAAAAATTCCTCTAATCGCCTTAAGCTAAAAATACTAACCTGTCTCAGCAGAACCTAGAGGTGGGGGAGGAGGGGCTTACGGTGCAGGGAGGAGTCCCTGTGAAGACAGGAAGGAGCACAGAGCAGTGGAAGGGCAGAGGAAGAAATGGGAACATAGATGCTTCCATGGGGGGCGGGGGGTGGGTCATTGAAGTCTTCTTTCCATTTGAAAAAAGAAATGTTATTTTAATAGGAATTCAAGGAAAGGAAAGGTCACCTATAATGGAAACACTCTGACGTCTAAATTAGCGAAGAAGAAAAAGGAAAATAGCAATCTGATCAAACTATCGAAAATAAGAAGAAGGGAGAGAAACAACCAAGTACAATAAGTAGTAGCAAAGTCCTATGGAAGGAACATTATCAAGCATTATTTGAAATGTAAACAGACTGCACTCCCTCATTAGGAGACACATGCAATTTGTATGAAAAACATTTAAATTAATGGAGACAGCTTAAAACTACCAAGAGACTAAAAACAGCAACAAAGCAGGAATGGCAATGTTCATATCAGACAAGATAGAATTTAATCTGAAAAAGCACCAAACAGTAGAAAGAGAAACAATTTGTGAAGATACAACATTCATGAGAAGAGTTGACTTTATTATAGAGAGCCTCCTCAGGCATGGTTTTAAGTGGTTTATGGATTGATTAACCTGAGCCTCACATCAACCCTATAAAGAGGGTGATATCATCTGCATTTTACCATTGAAGTACAGAGAGGCTGAGGAAGTTGCTGGAACAGACAGGATTCAAACACAGGTGATCTCAGTCACACTGTGTGTTGATATTCGTCAGACAATAGCCTGCGGTAGCACGCACACACCCACGTGTGTGTGTGTGTACAGACACATACATACACATGTACATCACATGTGCGCATTCCTGTGTAATTGTTGTGGGAGTTTCAAAAACCTCTTTCAGAATTAGCTCTGATAAGCAAAAGTAAGACCGATACTAGAATAATATCATCAACAGACTTGGTGAACAGAGGTGTACAGAACCTACCATCCCTCCAGCAGACAGTAAATACTTCTTTGATGTATCTAAGGAACTCTTAGAAAACTCAACCATGAACATGGCCACAAAGTAAAATCTATAATTATGGGCCACGTGCTCTGATCACAACCTAAGAAGTAATAAAAACTTGGCCCCAAAAATCTTAAGGTGGAAATTAAGAAACATACCTCTAGATAATTCTTTTATCAAAGAGGATATTAAAAGGAAAAATCACAAAATAAACACAAAGGAAATGAGATTCCTTCATACTGAAAATGATACAACAGTACAAAAATATGCTCAGAAAAAAATAAACTATGGTCTTAAATATCTTCATTATTAAGAAAGGCAGTAAATTAATATTCATCTTAAGAAATTAGAAAAAAAAATAATATGAACTAAAATAATATAATTTTAATAGTAATAAAATAATATACAAAAATAGAAAGGAGAAATCCAAAAATTGGTTTTTGATAAGACAGATAAAGTTTGAAAATCTATATGAACCCAATGATTTCTGGGAAAACATGAATTATCAAAATTGACTCCAAAAGATATGGAAATTTTGAGTAGATCAATTGCTATAAAACATTGCAAATAACACCAGAATGAAATGGTTTCATGGCTTAGTTTACTCTGGACTTTAAGAAACAGAGATATTAATATTATTTAAGCTGTTCTAAACCTTAGAAAAAGATGGCAATCTCCCCAATTCATTTTATGAAACCATAATTTTAATATGAATACCTGATAAAAATAATATACATAAGAAAATAGGTTAATTTTACTTAGGACTCGATGGAAAAATTCTATATAACCTATTAATAGGCTTCAGCAATGAATCCAAAGAATAATACTCTATAACCAAGTAGGATTTATTCCAAGAATGGTTCAATATCTGGAAATCCATAACTCACTCTATATGATCACATCAGTAGATGCAGAAAAGGCTTTTATTATGAATGTGGGCACCATTCCTGACAATAATTCTACAATATAGGATTAAAAGGGACTACTAAATATGGAAAAGGCCACCAAAAAACTATTTAAAATATCATTTTAAATAGCCAACACTGAAGTTGTTTTTACTAAAATCCAGAATCAAAAAAAAAAAAAATCAGGGATGCCCATCCTCACCATTGACACTCAGCATTGCCCCAAAGCTCTAGTCAATGCAGGACACAGAGGATATCATTCCCATCAACGATGTAAAATCATGTTCATTCATATTAATGATGAGGGAATAAGACGAAAACTGTATATAAGAGATCCACTGTCCAGTTGCAGGGTGGGCGTATGCTAGCCTAGCATTTTTGGAAGAAAGGGAAACAAGATGAAAGGGAGGGAGAGTGCTGGTTGCAGGAGGCATGGGGTGGGGGGAAAGGAGGAGGAATGGGGTCCACTTACTTTGCATGGAGTTGTGAGAATGTCTGTGCACAGGGGACCCAAGAAACGGGGCACAGAGGGGGCTACGGCACGGGGTGGGGGTGTCTGATGGTGAGAGCAGGGGATGTGAGGAGGACACTCGCATTCCCTTGTTTACCCCGATGTACCTCTGAATTTAGCGCCACCAGCTGGTTTTGTCTATTCAAAATAACAATTGTAATTCAAGAATTCAATGTTTGTCCAACAACAAAAAAGAATTAATGGATGAAAATGTAATCCTAATATTTTTATTCCTCTTGCTATTTCCATATACAATTGACACTTGAAATGCGGGATCAGGGTCACTGACCCCCTGTGTGGTTAAAAATCCACATATAACTTTTGACTCCTCCCAAACGTAACTAATAGCGGACTATTGACTGGAAGCCTTACCGATAACATCAATTAACACGTATTCTGTATGGCGTATGTATAATATACTGTGTTCTTATAATAGCCCAAGAAAAGAAAATGTTATTGAGAAAATCATAAGGAACAGAAAATACATTCAAAGGACTGTGAAAAAACCCACATATACAGGGACCCACATAATTCAAATGCATTGCTGTTCACGGGTCAGCTGTATTTTTAAAGAGAAAATATCTGTGTCTGTTTGAGAATTGATGATTTTATGTTAAAACATCCCAGTGAGCTGCAAACACGTGCTGAAATAATAAAAACTGGTGGATTTTCCAAAGGTCTCCATCAAGATTTTGGAACATGCCCTGAGCACACAGTCCAGTATTTCGTGGCCAACACTGCGCTACCTGATTGGGGAAGTGATTTACGGTGGCTGGGTGACCGACACGTGGGACAGGCGATGTTTGAACACCCTTCTCTACAAATTTTGTAATCCTGAAGTGCTGAGAGAGGACTTCAGTTTCTCCAGTGATGAAGTAAGAAAATGTATTTCCTTACATCACTCGCTTACCTAAGTGTTGTTGCATTCTTTAAAATCTGCGTTTAAAGAAATTTTAATGTTCCCTTTCAATGGCTCTTATTAACTTCCAGTGTTTTTTTAGAAGATTTTATTTGTTTATTTGTCAGAGAGAAAGAGAGCATGAGCAGGGGGAGTGGGAGAGGGAGAAGCAGGCTCTCCGCTGAGCAGGGAGCCTGATGCGGGGCTCGATCCCAGGACCCCGGGATCATGACCTGAGCTGAAGGCAGATGCTTTACCGACTGAGCCACCCAGGTGCCCCTGTTAACTTCCAGTCTTACAGACATAATTTGGCATTACTCTAGCAGTTAACATTTCATCTATCCATCCGTACTCTCCAGGCCAGAGGAGACCTGGATATGACCTCTGTTCCCTCAATCATCCCGATTGACAGCAGTCACCCTGATGGCAACGTCCTCCTTCCCGTCTTCCATCACCTCCCCTGTGCAAACCCCTATGCCTCTGTAAACCTGTCCCTTCGCAGAGACCCAGACGGAAGACACACAATGGCCCCTAGTCCCCAGACATCCTGTGACTGTACTGGGTGAAGGTCGGCAGCTCTGGGCCTGGGATCCTGTCTCACTTCCTGGGAGCACCCAGAGGTCCCTGTCCCCATGCCCCGGGCTCTTGGCTCTGCCCTCTGCGCCATCCTTCCAGTTCCATAGAAAGGGGCCCATTTTTATAGCTAACCAGTTTCTTCAGCAGCTTCCCTTCTGCAGTTGAACTGCAGTCTGGCGTCCTCTTCACCTTCTACTGTCTCTGTCCCTTTCACACCAAGCTGACACCATTCACTGTTACGCTCTGTGACTTTCTGGAACCAGTTTGTCATCCTCTCTAATAGAGGTGAACCAGCACATGTCCCAGCAGCTCAGCTGTGTCCTGGTGGCTCAGGGTTCCCGGGGAGTTACGGCCAAGACGTCAGCTGGGGCTGCGGTCATAGGGCTTCACTGGGGCGGGAGAAGCCACTTCCAAGGCCACTCACGGGACTGATGGCCAGAAGCCTCAGTGCCTCCACGTGCGGGATCCCCGGGGCAGGGGGGGGCAGCGTGGGGGTGGCTCCTGACCACCACCGATGGGGGATGTCAGGGGATCGGGGTCATGCAGCTGGCCACCCCCTGAGCAACCGAACCACCCAAGAGAAACGAGGCTGCAGCACCGTGTACGAGCTGGTCCCCTCCGGTCCGCGCTCTGTCAGAAGAAGCCGGCCGCACAGTCCAACCTCCATTCCAGGAGAGGAGAAGGCAGCTCCATGTTTCAGAGGGTTGGAGTCCAAGAAGCCAGATAGTTACGTTCGTCCCCATTGCTAAACAGGGTTTTGAAGGCCCGTTTTCTCCCAGTTAGATGTGACTCTGGGAGTCAGCCTTACTGAGCAGCACCAGCTACAGCGAGTCGCAGGAAGATACCTCCGATGGCCTGGGAAGAAGAGCCCTCCTATGCCCATTAAGGAGCTTGTCAATTTTTGAAATTTTTATTATTGATTTTATAACTGGAATTTTTTTAAAAGATTTTATTTATTTACTTGACAGAGAGAGACACAGTGAGAGCAGGAACACAAGCAGGGGGAGTGGGAGAGGGAGAAGCAGGCTTCCCGCTGAGCAGGGAGCCCGATGCGGGGCTTGATCCCAGGACTCTGGGATCATGACCCGAGCCGAAGGCAGATGCTTAACGACTGAGCCACCCAGGCGCCCCTATAACTGGAATTTTGCACCTTTTGTCCATCTTCCCCATTTTGCCCACCCCCCACCTCCCAAGCGGTCAGAATGATTCTTCAGCTCAGCGTCACATTCCTTGTATAGGTCTTGCCACAGTGAAATGGTGTATGGAGGCTAGACTGCGTCCGCTGTGGGTATGACGCAGGGAGGCAGCGGGCAGTGAGAAGCAGCCTAGCCTTTAAAGTCTCTCTTTTCTCAACAAGAAAGTTATTGTGCAGATCAATACAACTCCACCTAGAACTAAGAAGGGCCTTCTGTATACACTTCATGGGCAGCAGTGTCTTCATGCATTACGGAATGTAAGAATCGGTCTGGGCAGAGACTGACGACATGGTTAACTCTTCAGAGACGTCAGCCAGTGCCCAAATCTGCGAGCATCAGGGACTGCATACACGTCATCCAGTCCTTACCTGACGACGACCCTCCAGAGCTCTTAGGGCTGCACCCCGAGGCCATACGGGGCTGCAGGGAGATCCAGGGCCAGAAGTTCATTGACAGCCTCATCGTCCTGCAACCCAGAGCCACCACTGCAAACCTCATGATCAGGTAAGAACCCACTAGGACGAATGTTTAGCTGGAAATCACTAAATCATTAAGAAGGCTTAGTTGGAAATGAGTATTTAATAATTTGAAGAGATACAATGCTGAACTTGTGGATAAAGAAGTCTAAAATATAGTGTAAAACCTAAAACACAGTCTAAAAATAGAGACTAAATCCTCCAAATGATAGAGGTGAGTAGATGCACACAGGAGTGCATGTGCACGCACACAGAAATATAATTACCAAGCACGTGGCGGGTACTCAGTAAATGTTTGTGGAATGAGTGCTGGTACTCTACCTAGTGAGTGGCATTTTTAAACTGAATTAGTCTCAGTGTGAAATGTCACATTTACTTCTCTAGGACAGGGAAGGATCCCCGTCACAATAAGTAAGAGGACGGTGTGGTCAAGAGGTTAGCTCTGCCCTTAGAGGCCTGTGTGGCTTACACTCTGTTAGTCACACCGCCCCGGTACCCTCACTCTGCTTATCTGTACATAGACACATCGCCTGTCTACCCATCAGGGCCATCGTGAGCTTCAGACGGTCTCACAAAGGTACCCCAAACTCTCCAGCCTCATCAGCCTGTAACTGTAAGATAAGGTCATATGTTGTTAAGGCCACGACTACCTGGGTGAGCTCCCCAGAGAAGTGTGTTCCTGCTCTGTTCACTCAGAGCTGCTCAGGACACAGGCAACACACACAGACTGGCTCTGGGTTCAAATCCCAGCTCTGTCACTTGACTTTGCAAACTTGGGGGTGCCAATTAAGTCTTTTGTTTCGGGTTCATCATGTTTAAATTAGAAATAATAATAGTGCCTAGCAGGGCTGTGCTCAGAATACAAGTTCCTTATGTAAGTTCGGCCTAAAAATCTAGTGTTCCAATTTGCAAGTCTAGGATTTTAACAAGCATTTTTAAAAGGTCTTTGAATAGTGTTTGGTTCCATCTACAAACTTAAACACTTTCAAATATGGTAACATTCATTACAAAGTTAACGTACTTCAGCTAGCTGACTGCCAAACCCTCTCGAGTCTTTCAATAAATCTTATAAATCTAATAATTAAACAAATATGCTGGATCTTAAACTCTCTTACTTTTTTTTTTTATTTATTTACTTGAGAGAGAGAGATAGCGAAAGAGAGAGCATGAGCAGGGAGAAGAGGGAGAAGCAGATTCCCTGTGAGCAGGAAGCCCAAGATCGTGACCTGAGCCGAAGGCAGATGTTTAACCAACTGAGGCACCCAGGTGCCCCTCTTATATTTTTAAATATATCAACTTAGGTGGTTTCAACCTAAAGTCATAAATTTATTTTTTTTAAGATTTTTTATTTATTTATTTGAGAGAGAGGGAACACAAGCATGGGGAGCGGCAGAGGGAGAAGCAGACTCCCCACTGAGCAGGGAGCCCGATGCGGGGCTCGATCCCAGGACCCTGAGATCATGACCTGAGCCGAAGGCAGACGCTTCACTGACTGAGCCACCCAGGCACCCCTAAAATCATAAATTTAAACCAATTTCTCAATTATCTGTTTTAAGTTGGAGTCCCAAAGCTGACCTTCAGGTTTTAAGAGCCCCGAATCTTTTAACTATCCCAAATATTTAAAACACCAACATGTACAGATTCCCCAACACAAAACTATTGTTACTTTGATTTGATTTTGATTCTGTTAGTCTTGTCTACACCAGCTTCTAAGTCTTCCCTACGTTGAGAGATGCTAAGCAGGGACCAGGGGCATCACTGTCCAGGATGCGTGAGTCTGCCTTCTCAGGGCTTAAGGTTGGAAAAAACCCAAGCCAATAAACTAAAACAGAAATGTCAACCACAACATGAATTGATTCTTATTGGCAACACTCATAGGATGCCTTGAGCCCTGATTAGAGTTGTCAACAACATAGTAACAACCTCAAAACCTGTGAGGTGACAGTCACATCGCCCACACCCCTGGGTCTCAACGACGTGTGCCCCAACAGACGCATAGACTCACAGACTGGGAGTTACGCTTCATTTGCCCTGCAGGAGAGCTGGGAACACTGGCTCCACTTGGGGCCTCCGTGCTCTCCCCTCTGGTGCACAGGGGCCCCCACTCTAGGTAACTACCCCGTGACCTTACCCTAGGCCCCTCCTTCTACAGAAGCTGTGGGTTGAGGCCTGGGTTTTGTGGAGAATAGCTGCATACCGTCAGGATCTTCCATCCACGGATTCCCCCGTCAGTAAGTCACCCTGAATAAAACTCTTCTCCGTCTGGAAGATACTTGACTGACCCTCCTCCACCTTCTAACAGGCTCTTAACATACATGTGTATTTTTTTCCACTTACCTCTCAAACCTCTGAACCCATGGGAATCCTGTACTCTTAGGGTCTTTCCTGTCTCTTTGGACCATGAAACTCCTGCTAAAATGGTATCTGATTGGATTCTCACTATGGCTTTGGCTATTTGGTGACACAAAATAGACATACCTGAGCACTCATTTCACTGACTGAGTGAATGTATCCTAACTATTTACAATATAGAAGGAAAGCTGCACACAGAGAGGAGGTCATTGGAAATCTTCCAGTATGTCCCCAGAATATCAGCTTAAATTCCCCGCACATCCTACAATAGTAATAGTAATAATAGTAATTCTGTACTGTTGGTCTTCAACAAATACACCAGTCAGAGATGAGATGATTGTAAGGGGCTGCTTCTCATGAGCACGTGGAATAGGTTAATTGTGTCCCTCTGGTTCATTTTGGGGAGGCTATGATTACTGCAGTTAGGCTGCCTTTACTCAAAACGTACTTGAAACTTCTCTGTGTGAGCGGACTTAAAAGATCTGTCCCGTTCAATGTAACCACCTTGGTGGTAGCAAACGTTTGCCCTCTGGAGATGTTTGCTTATTGAAATCGTCTGATCTTTTGAATCCTGATGAATCCCACCAAGTAACCCTACTTTCAAGTCAAAACCTAAGGTTTTCCTACTGCACTGCCTGCAGCGGTATCTTCCAGACTATCGCTTTTACCTTCCAGGATGACCCTCGTTTGGGTGTGTGACCCGGGCTGTTACTGAAAGCCGGTCCCTGCTGGTATTCAGAGTAACTGAGTGGGACGCAAAGTAGGTACATCCCATGTCCGTCTCCTCCACTCACGGTAGGGAGGTGCGGTCGCCATCCCGAGCCCCGGTTTCAAAGAGCTGCTCCAGCTTCAGCGTTTCCTGGCTCTGTTTGTGTCCCCCTAACACAAGGATGCGCGGTCAGGTTGCCTGCTTTTCTTCATTCCGCTGGTGGCACTTCACACACATGCATTCAGAGGATGCAGAGTTGACAAGTTTTAAAGTTTTAAAACTTTAAAAATATGGGGCGCCTGGGTGGCTCAGTCTTTAGGTGTCTGCCTTCGGTTCAGGTCATGATCCCAGGGTCCTGGGATCCAGCCCCGCATTGGGCTCCCTGCTTGGCGGGAAGCCTGCTTCTCCCTCTCCCAGTTCCCCTGCTTGTGTTCCCTCTCTCGCTGTCTCTCTCTCTCTGTCAAATAAATAAATAAAATCTTTTTAAAAAAAACCTAAAAATCATGTTTTGTTGTAAATGTCCGCAGTGCATTGGGCAGTTTCCTCATCTGTAAAATGCAGCAAACTCCACGGTCCTTGCCTGTAGCTCTGTGGCTCTGGGAGGCTATGTTGGCCCTCAGACGGGACCCATCGGAGGGCTCTCCCGGTTCAAACAGATCTGAAGCTCGTTCTCCTCCTAATTCTTTCTGCAGTCGTGAGCAGAGTAACGATGAACTGGTGATGGAAATTTTATCCGACATGATAAAGCGGCTGCCAATGTCTGTGGAGAAGGAGGAATGTTCTGGAACTCCCAGCACCTTGAAGTACATCATGTCCAGCCCCATTTGGGAGTCTCTTTATAAAGGTATCCAAGGTAAGCAGGGGATAGGAGTGGTGGCCTCAGGGAAGGACTCTGGCAGCAAGAGGAAGGAAGAGTGGAGGTCCCACCAAAGGGAGCGCAGAAATACAAAGCCTGAGTGAGCGGGAGAGCGGACTCTGTCCAAGCTGAGAGATGGAGAGCAGACAAGAAAACGTTGCTGTGGCTTTGTCTTTGCTTCTGTTTTTGTTGAGGCTGGGACGAGGTGAGGTGGGGGAGGGGTGGCCCCAAGACTAGAGGGGAGGGAGTCATCCCTGTGGCAAAGCAGGCCAGGAGCAGCGGGGTTTGGAGGGGCCCTCGACTCTGAGCAGCAAGGCTCCGGGGGGCCAAAGTGCAGGGTGGGGCAACCGGCCCGATTAAGTTGTCAACATCCATAGCTTAACCCTCGAAAGAAAGTTCATCTGGGGACCCAGTGCTGAGCAGTAGTCTATGCGGTCAGTGCTGTTGCTGAGTCTGCACCACAGCCGGCCAACAAGGGCTGTGGCCAAATCCAGCTACCGTTCCTTCTCGATCAACCTAAATGCGAAAATGGTTTTTACATGATTTTATTGGTTAAAAAGAAAGAAAGAAGAATATTTTCGGCACATAAGTATCATGTGAAATTCCAGTTTGAGTGCCCACAAATATTCATTGGCGTGCAGCTGTGCTCACTCATTTTCATGTGTGGGTGCCTGTGTTCACATGGCCAAAGCAGGGCTGAGCGGTCGTGACACAGGAGGGCCCCAGAGCCTGCCCAGTCACTGATTTCTGGCAAAAAAAAATAAAAATAAAAATAAGTGTCTCGATCCCTGGTCTGGACACATGAAGTTCCTTTGATTTCCAAAGCCTATATTTCTCCATGTAAAGCCTCCTTTTATCTGAAAACTAACATTATTTTCCGTCTGTTTAAATCCAGGCTATGATCCCCTTATCCATTGCGCCTTGCTATCCTTTCTGAGCCAAGAAATTGAACGGTTTGATAAGTTCTTATTGGTTGTGCATAAGTCTTTGAAAGACCTTCAACTTGCAATAAAAGGGGAGATCATCCTTACCCAAGAACTGGAAGAAATATATGGCTCTTTCCTTAATATGCGAGTACCCATGCTGTGGCAGGTAAGCACTACCATTCCCAGCTCGCTTGCTCCCCAGGGCCTTGGTGAAATACTCCGTTACCACTGACCTACTTGTGGTGTGAGTGTGTATGAATTTATTGGCAATTCCACTTAGATAAATTTAAGACGTATTGTTAAATTGTAAGTTTCAGAAAATGATGTCATTTTAAAGATAATAAAACCTATATACTTACGTGCACGTATATGTGCTTATAAAAACACACGTGCCTCAAGATTCAAGATACCCAAACAAAAGTTTTGGGAGAAAATGCACAAGCAACTCCTAAGAGTGGTTGCCTGACATGGGGGAATCTTGAGGGTCCTGTGGGCAGGGAAAGAGGCTTTAATTTTACATCTCCTATATCAATCACTGTATCTTACTGTACTATTTTGATTTTTTATCATATTCGTATCTTTTTAATTTTTATGCCAGTATCATTGACATACAGTGTTAGATTAGCTTGGCGGGGTATAGGATAGTGATTCCACAATTTTATACATTACTCAGTGTTCGTCGGGACAAGTGTCCTCTTCATCCTCATCACCTGTTTCCCCCTTTCCCCCCACCCACCTCCCCCTCTGGTGACCAGCAGTGTGTTCTTCATAGTTAAGAGTCTATTTCTTTGTTTTGTTTTAAGATTTATCTGAGAGAGAGAGAATGAGCAGGGGGGTGGGGCAGAGGGAAAGGGAGAAGCAGACTCTCCACTGAGCAGGGAGCCCGATGCGGGACTCGATCCCAGGACCCTGAGATCAAGACCTGAGCTGAAGGCAGATGCTTCACCAACTGAGCCACCCAGGCGTCCCGAGTGTTTTTTGATTTGTCTCTTTTTTTTCTTTGTTTTCTTAAATTCCACATATGAGTGAAATCATATGGTATTTGTCTTTCTCTGCCTGACTTATTTCACTCACCATTATACTCTCTAGGTCTATCCATGTTGTTGCAAATGGCAAGATTTCATCCTTTTGTATGGCTATGTAATAGTCCATTGTATTTATATATACACCACATCTTCTTTATCCATTCATCTATCAAAGGACACTTCAGTTATTGGTTATATTGGTCTTGGTTATTGTAAATAATGCTGCAATAAACATAGGGATGCATATATCTTTTTGAATTTGTGTTTTTGTATTCTTTGAGTAAATACCCACTAGTGGATTAATGGAAATGCAGTAATTCTATTTTTAATGTTTTGAGGAACCTCCATACTGTTTTCCACAGTGACTGCACCAATTTGCATTCCTACCAACAGTGTAGGAGGGTTCCCCTTTCTCCACATTTGTTCCAACACCTTTTGTTTCTTGTGTTTTTAATTTTAGCCATTCTGACAGGTCTGAGTCCATATCTCATTGTGGTTTTGATTTGCATTTCCCTGATGATCAGTGATGCTGAGCATCTTTTCATGTGTCTGTTGACCATCTGCATGTCTTCTTAAAAAAAAAAAAAAGATTTGAGAGGGAGAGCACAAGTTGGCGGGGGGGGGGCGGGGAGAGGAGGAGGGAGAGAGAATTTCAAGCAGATGCCCCACTGAACACGGAGCCCAACGCAGGGCCTGATCCCATGACCCTAAGATCATGACCTGAGCTGAAACCAAGAGTCAGATGCTCAACCGACTGAGCCACCCAGGTGCCCTCGGCATGTCTTCTTTGGAGAAATGTCTGTTCATGTCTCTGCCCTTTTTTTAATTGAATTATTTTTGGGTGTTGAGTTGTATAAGTTCTTTATATATTTTGGATACTAACGCATTATCAGATATGTCATTTGCAAATATCTTCTCCCATTCCATGGGTTGCCTTTTAGTTTTGTTTCCTTGGCTGTGCAGAAGCTTTTTATTTTGATGTAGTCCCACTAGTTCATTTTTGTTTTTGTTTCCCTTGCTTCTGGAGACATATCTAGAAAAACACTGCTATGGTCAATGTTAGAGAGATTACTGCCTGTGCTCTCTTCAAGGATTTTTATGGTTTCAGGTCTCACATTTAGGTCTTTAATCCACTCTGAGTTTATTTTTGTGTATGGTGTAAAAAGGTCGTGCTGACTCACTCTTTTGCGTGTGGCTGTCCAGTTTTCCTAACACCATTTGTTGAAGAGACTATCTTTTTCCCACTGTATATTCTTTCCTCCTTTGTTGAAGAGTAATTGACCATATAACTGTGACTTTATTTCTAGGCTCTCCACTCTGATCCGTTGATCTATGTGTCTGTTTTTGTGCCAGCACCATACTGTTTTCATCACTACAGCTTTGTTGTGTATCTTGAAATCTGAGTTTGCAGTTGGATGGAAATCTTAGTTTGTTATTCTTTTTTGAGATTGCTCTGGCTATTTGGGGTTCCATACAAATTTTAGGATTGTTTGTCATAGTCCTGTGAAAAATGCTATTGGTACTTTGATAGGGATTCCATTAAATCTGTAGATTCCTTTGGGTAGTTGGGACATTTTAACAATATTTGTTCTCCCAGTCCATGAGCATGGACTATCTTTCCATTTGTTTGTGTCCTCTTCAATTTCTTTCATCAGTATTCTATAGTTTTCAGAGTACAGATCTTTCCACCTCTTTGGTTAGGTTTATTCCTAGGTATTTTATTATTTTTGCTGCAATTGTAAATGGGGCGGTTTTCTTAATTTCTCTTCCACTTTGTTATTGGTGTATAGAAATGCAGTGGATTTCTGTATGTTGATTTTGTATCCTGCAACTTTACTGAATTTATCAGTTTTAGCAAATTTTTTGGTGGACTCTTTTGGGTTTTCTATATATAGTACCGTGTCATCTGCAGATAGTAAATCCAATTTGGATGCCTTTTATTTCTTGTCTGATTGCTGTGGCTAGCACTTCCAGTACTATGTTGAATAAAAGTGATGAGAGTGGACACCCTTGTCTTGTTCTTGATCTTAGGGGAAAAGTTCTCAGCTTTTCACCACTGAGGATGATGTTAGTGTGGGTTTTTCATATATGGGCTTTATTATGTTATGTTCCCTCTAAACCTACTTTGTTCAGGGATTTTTTTTTTATCATGAATGGATGTTGTACTTTGTCAAATGTTTTTTCTGCATTTACTGAAAGGATTATATGGCTTTTATCTTTGCTTTTATTGATGTGATGTATCACGTTGATTTGTGAATATTGAACCATCCTTGCATCCTGGGAATAAATCCCACTCAATCGTGATGAATAATTTTTGTAATGTATTGTTGGATTTGGTTTGCTAGAATTTTGTTGCAGATTTTTGCATCTATGTTCATCATGGATATTGGCCTGTAGTTCTTCTTTGTGTGTGTGGCGGGGGGTCTTTATCTGGTCTTGGTATCAAGGTAATGCTGGCCTCAGAATGAATTTGGAAGCTTTTCCTTCTCGTATTTCTTGGAACAGTTTTAGACGAATAGGTATTAACTCTTCTTTAAATGTTTGGTATAATTCCCCTGGGAAGCTGTTAGGTCCTGGACTTCTGTCTGTTGGGAGCTTTTTGATTTAATTACCAGCAATTAAATTGAATCACTAATCTTGAAATTTTATATTTCTTCCTGATTCAGTTTTGGGAGATTATTCATGTTTCTAGGAATTGATCCGTTTCTTCTAGGTTGTCCAGTTGTTGGCATATAATTTTACATAATCTCTCATAATCCTTTATTATTTTGTGGTGCTAGTTATTATTTCTCCTCTTTGACTTGTTTATTTGAGTTCTGTCTCTCTCTCTTTCTCTCTCTCTCTCTCTCTTTGAGGAGTCTGGGCTAGTTCTATCAATATTGTTGATCTTTTAAAAAATCCAGCTCCTGGTTTCATTGATCTATTCTATTGTTTTTGTAATCTCAACTTCATTTATTTCTGCCCTAATCTTTATTATTTCCTTCCTTCTACTGGTTTTGAGTTTTATTTGTTCCTCTTTTTCCTGCTCCTTTTAGGTGTAAGGGTTAGATTGTTGGAGATTTTTCTTCTTGAGGTAGCCCTTTGTTGCTATAAACTTTGCTCTTATAACAGCTTTTGCTGCATCCCAAAGATTTGGGACTGTTATATTTTCATTTTCATTTGTCTCCATGTATATTTTTAATTTCCTCTTTGATTTCTTGGTTGATCCATTCATTTTTTTTTAGTAGCATGTATTTAACCTTCATATATTTGTGTTCTTTCCAGATTTTTTATTGTGGTTAACTTCTAGTTTAATAGCACTGTTGTCAGAAAAGATGCATGGTATGACTTCAGTCTTTGAATTTGTTGAGACTCATTTTGTGGCCTAATATATGATCTACTCTGGAGAATATTCCATGTGCACCTGAAAAGAATGAGTATTCTGCTGTTTTAGGATGGAATGTTCTGAATAGATCTGTGAGATCATCTGATCCAATGTGTCATTCAAAGCCACTATTTCCTTATTGATTTTCCATTTGGATAATCTGCCCACTGATGTAAGTGGGGAGTGAAAGTCCTTTAATGTTATTGTATTAACTATTTCTTTATGTTAATTAGCCGCTTTATGTACCTGGATGCTCCAATGTTGGGTGTATAAATATTTACAATTGTTACATCTTCTTGTTGGATTGTCCCCTTTATGATTATATAGTGTCCTTCTTTGTCTCTTGTTACACTCTTTGTTTTAAAGTCCATTTCATTCAATATAAGTATTGTTACCCTGGCTTTCTTTTCACTTCCATTTGCATGATAAATGTTTTTCTAGTCCCTTCACTTTCAATCTGCAGGTGTCTTTAGGACTGAAATGAGTCTATTATAGGCAGCATATACACAGGTATTGCTTTTTTATCCATTCTGTCACCCTGTGTCTTTTGATTGGAGCATTTACTCCATTTACATTTGCAGTAATTATTGATAGGTATGTACTCATTGCCATTTTGTTACTCATTTTTTTTTATTATTTTTATGTTATGTTAATCACCATACATTACATCATTAGTTTTTGATGTAGTGTTCCAGGATTCATTGTTTGCATATAACACCCAGTGCCCCATGCAGAACGTGCCCTCTTTAATACCCATCACCAGGCTAACCCATCCCC